CTTCTCTCCTTGATTAGTTTCCACCCATTGCTTCTTGTTCTACCCTCAGGTGCTTTGGAGAATAGTTTGACTTCTTGTTCTACGCTCAGGTGCCTTGGACTCCCTCTTCTTTGTGGCAACCTCTGAGATATTGGAACACTGCTATCATATTTCCCCTTCTTTTCATTAAACTAGACATACCCAGTTCCTGCAACCGTTCTTCATATGTTTTAGTCTCCAGTCCCCTAATCAACTTTGTTGCTCTTCTCTGCACTCTTTCTAGTCTCCACATCTTTTTTACATCATGGTGACCAAAACCGAATGCAGTATTTGAAGTGTGGCCTTACACTTGGAATACTGCATACTTTATACTGTACATCTCAATAATCTATTACTCATCTGGAATCTTTTCTAATTACATTATACCCTGAATTCCTCACATTCTATGCTAATTTTAATGCAAAAACCAACATTTTCCCCATCGAGGGGTTCTCACAGATACAATTAAATACTCAGGGATGGAACCTGTGAAGGGAAACATGTTCACTTCAAACCATTTTAGCTCTTTCAAGATATCCTAAAAGATTCTACCTTGTATAGTTGAACATCACCCAGCCTGCATGTTGCTTCTTTTTCTTCAAAACTTACTGCAAAACCCACAATGACTCTGAAAACATTGACACAGTCTGCTACTTTCCATTAATGGACCAGGCATTAGTTACTCTTTGCCTAAATGTACTTTAATTTTTTCTAGAGTGCCACAGTTGATGTGATTTTTAGCTACAACATCCTAAAATCCTATATGAGAACATAAGCTTTTGCAAGTTTTACAAATTTCAGCATTTTTCTGTGCAATTAACCAAAGCTCAAGAGATTTTAAAGAAAAAATATTCATTTTAAGAATGTGCAAAGGTAATTTTTGGCTGTGACAAATACTCTGCTACTCTTAGGAATTACGCTACGGATCTCTGTAATAAATCTCAAGTGTGTGTAACTGAAGTAACATCATATTCTTCCCGATTCTTCTTACATTCTCACTGAATTTTGGCTGCAAATTCATTAAGTCACATCATTGCAAGAATAATAATGCTGATCTATAGGTAACATTGCAGCATATTTTTTATAACAAATGAAGAATAAGTTGCTTTTCTTCAGGAAGTAACATTAACCTACCTGTAACAGGGAGTCGTAATTAGATAAGAGGCACAACTGAAGTACAGCTTAAAGTCTAACTTTTCATGTGTTGAGCCTTCATCATCCTGCAGGATAATGACAAATAGAGGTAAACCACAGGACCAAAACCAGTTATCCAACAGGTGGATGAGACTTAATTTAAACATTCTTAAAAGGCCATCAGCCCAAACAGATACTGGAAAGGGGAGGGGAGTCAAAGGTCACACTGCTTTAAAATACACCATCATCCCAGACATTTTATCCTCTGGATAAAACCCAGGCATTTTATCTTCCTAGTATGGCCAAATGTTTGATTTGGTTCTCTCCTCAAATGCAGCAAGGAAAAGCCAACTTCATTCTCCATCACTGCCTAGAACAGTTTTTTTCAAACTTGGCAACTTTAAGATGTGTGGACCGTATCCCCAACACCCCTTGGGAACCATATTTTTCTGGGAGAGTAAAATTGCTGTAATAGCATTGCTATTGTTACAATAGGGGGAAGCCTCAACAAATAGCAGCAGGGAGCTCATTTCCTACTGCCTTAAGGGAAATATCTCTGTCCATCTACCAGTTGCCTCGAATATAGGTAGTCCTCGACTTGCAATCATTCCATTTAGTGACTGTTTGAAGTTATGATGGCACTGAAAAAAGTCAAGGATGATTGTTTTTCACTCTTATGGCCATGTCAGCACCAGGATGGAAAAAAAAACCCATACACAATTCACTCAAGCTAACTAGTGAGGGTCATCTCTTTGAGAAATAAAAAGTTGATGTTAATATCTCTTTAATCCTTTTTAATATTTTCCCAGCATAGCAAAGGATAACAGGTTCTTACTTTGACTATAAATGACAAGGTCCCTTTTAGTTTCTGTGCCATGGCAATACTCTGCAGGGTGAAAACAAACTGGGTTTCATTTGAGACTCCTAAATTTGGGAAAAGACAAAAAAATAGAATGTAGACAGAATGTTGTTAGATTTATATACAAAGTGAGAATTATATTAAGGCTTATCTTGATTTCAACATCTTAACTCAGATTTCTTTAAAATACCATTTTTTCCACTAAAGAGTATAAATCATTAGCAGTTTAACAATAAGCAAAAACCATCAATCAGGATTGTTTTAATATGTATTAAAGGCGGGATGGGGAACTGCTAGAGAAAACTACAGATAGTCCTTGACTTACAACAGTTCATTTAGTGACCGTTCAAAGTTACAACAGCACTGAAAAAAGTGACTTATGATCATTTTTCACACTTATGACTGTTGCAGCATCCCCATGGTCACATGATT